GGGCCGGCCTCTAAGCCTCTGGTTAGAGAATCAGCTAGAAAAAAAGAGGGAGTGATAAAGCCCCAAGCAGAGTGCCTGCAACAGAACTGGAGCCACACTGGTTCCTTCCCCTCGTAATCCTGAGAGTGTCCCCGCGAGGCAGTTGTTAAGCCGGCATGACAGAGATAAGGAAACTGAGGTTCAGGAGGGTTAGATCTTTCTAACAAGGTCTCTTGGTTGGGGTCTGCTGGGGCCTGGGTTCTTCTGAGGAGGCCGTGTTCTTCCCAAGGCCTGGTCCCACTGTCAGTGGTAATGGGACGGAGCCCTTTCTCCAGGGCTCCTTCTGCCAGTCAGCGCTCCTCCTGGTGGCCTCCACACACCTGACTTCCAAGGCAGATCTTAAGCTGGACCTGAGGCAGGTGACCCAGGCTCACTTAGGGACCAGCAGATCAGAACCCGACAGGAAAAGGATGTCCACTGAGCTAAGGGTGGACAGGACAGAGGTGTGGCAGGGACTGTGCCTGGATGGATAGACCTTGCAGAGGCCAGTGGGTCTACCTGGAACGGTGGCCCCTTTCTCCAGCCCTTCCGCTTCGCAGAGGGTCACCTTTCCTGGGATGGGGTAGTGATGCTGTAATGTACGGGGTGGGGCCTGGGCGGTGGAGATGGATGCTAGGGTGGTGACGAGAGGCGGGGCAGCCACAGGTAAATGCTGAGACACCTTTGGGGGCGATTTAAACATCCCCCTGAAGAAGTGGGGGAAATCGAAAGGGTCAGCTGAGGCGCAGCCCCCACTACCTGCTCATACTTCAGAGTCCAAGTATTGCTACAGAAGGGCCATTTGACCCTTGAGATCAGCCCAGACCTCCCTGTGCAGATGCAGGCAGCTTGGCTCTGGCAGCCCCGGGCCTGACACCCGGCCCCCCAGTCCTCTATTTGGCCTCCCTTATGACTCATGAGAGCACTGGGCCTTCCTCGGCCCCTGGAGCAGCTGGCTAGTCACCTCTGTGACCAGGGGGCCCAATAGGGCAAGGGAGGAGGGGTTCGAAGCTGCATGCCAGGGAAAGGAAGAGTGAAGGGAGAAAACAGCAGAGGCAGGAGGAAAGGCTGCCAGGGCCGGAGGGACACAGAGCTACTGTACTCCGAAGAGGCAGCCTGTGTTGGAGGGAGCAGCCATCGGGCCAATTTATTGTTTATTTTATTACTCTGGGTTGCTGGGCCTTGGGCCAGGGAAGTTATTTCAGGCAGAGATCATAGCACATTAATTAGTTATTAGAAGAATGTCCTTTTCTGCGTGTTCTTCCTGAGAAAAGAAATAAACCCCGCGGCAAGTACATATAACTGAAAGCGGGTGGGCACTCCAGCGGCCAAGGCCAGGGTTGGGAATGAGGCGGCAAGTCTCTGTTCCGGAGAGGAGGGCCCCGCGCAGGTTCAGGCTGGGGATGGAGGGGAGAAGCATGGTGGCCAAGGCAAGAGCAGGGGTTGGGGAGGGCGGAGAGGCCAGGGCACCCTGAGATCTCCACCCCGTGCACCTGGCTGCCCCAGTGCAGCCTGGGGAAGGGGTTCTGTACCAACTCACCCTCTTGGAAAGCAACTCAGAAACACGATTCTGAATACCAAAACTGACCAGTACGAAAATAAATAAACAGAAACGACTCCGCATAACCTTTGGCCTAGTGATTTCGCTTCTGGGAATCTCAGAAAACAGTCAGCCCGTGGAAAAACACAGAGATACCCAGAGTGATTCTACAATAGCAGAAAAACCAGAAGCCACCAAAAGCATTCAAAAGGAATAGGTTGGTCACATGAGTAATTGCACAGACGTACAGTGAAATAGCACGAGGCTCTTAAAAGTAATGCTTACGAAGATTTTTTTACCTTACATGAGAAATGCTCATTCTATAAGTGAAAGAAACCAGCATGCACAATTACATTATGACATGATCTTAACTGTGTGATAAAATAGCTAAAAATACTGGAAATACATATACTGTATTTATATATGTGTGTGTGAATGATATTTAAAATGGTTTCCCTTGAGTTGTGTGGTTATGGGTAATTTTTTTCTTCTTCCTTAAATTCATTCTTCTGTGTTTTCCAATTTAAAGAAAATGACTGTTCAGTAGATTTAATGAGAAGGAAGGAAGATACGTAATTGAGTTTGGGAAGGCTTCCCCGAGCTACAAGCTTTCCTACCCTGCTGGCACTCTCCCTCAGGGGAGACAGCTTTTGATGCATGAGCTAAATTCAGTTACTGATGTGAGTGGGGAGAGAGAGCTCTTGTGCTTGGACGATAACACAGAGGAGGGATCTGCCTCTCCCAGCCTTCCTGTTTCCCTCAAATAACAAGTAATATATGGCCACTCGACCATGCCACTTTCTTAGACCCAGTTAAGAGCCGGCATGACTCAGGCGAAGCCAGGAGAGAGTCTCAGACAAGAGGCACTTAAACCTGTCTGCTGCTCGGAGATACTGCCCCCAGGGACACTTGCCTTTCCCCACTTTCCCTCCCATTCTGCAAACGTATACTGTGAATGTCCTGTGGCAGAGAACCCAGACCAGGCGCCAGGGAGCTAAGGCACAGTTGTAGGTGCTGGTGCTACAGGAAAGAGAACCAAGGTGTGTCCAGAAGGCCAGGGAAGGCTATACAAGGGCAGGAGCCATCTGTAAACGGCCTGGACTTCCCGTGGGGGCATAATCCAGGCCAGACAGAGGACATGGGTTACAAAGGAACCTTGCATGGAACCCAGGTATCTCTAGAGTGTCTTTGGCAGCAATGGGTGTTTAATAAAATAAAGGAGATGGATTAGATCAGTCCTCACCCTAAAGTCCAAGGCAGCCCTGGGGCCTATAAGATTATATATAAATTTGTGATGTTTATGCATTTTTCTAAAGATAGGTCCACAGCTTTCATCAGATTTTCAGAGGAGGAAATGACCTTTTAAAAAGTTAAGAAGCAATGGATCTGATTCATAGCTAAGGGCCCTTGTAGTTTTAATATATAAGAGACCCAAAAGCCAATGGGTCCATCCACCTCTCCCCATCCCCCACCTGGGTACCAAACTTCAGAAATCACAGCCTCTCAACGCTGCTGAGCCCAAGGCTATCCACCCAAGGGCAGACTTGATCTGGTGTCCAGTTCAGACACAACATGATAGCGTGGGGCCTGCCCTGCTTCCAGAAGGCTTGTGTTAGAAGTTTAGTGTTAAGAGAAAATTTGTATCTAGAAGATCAGTAACCAGATTGTTAACTTTGCTGCTTTTCTTGCCAAACCAAGAATAGTGCTCTGAGTGTTGCAGGTGCTCGGTGAATGAACAGAAACAAGAGCATCCTTCTTTAAAACCTGCAAGACATGAACACTGTTGACTTTTGGGGGCCATGGAACCCATTGCTGCCCCATAGGAGCCTGACTCTCAGCAGCTTGGCAATGGCTGTAGATGAGGCCAAGGAAAATGGTCTGGCCTTGAAGGTTGTGTGGCCTGAGGACTGGAGAGAAGCCTGTCTTCTAAAGATAAGAAGGGTTCTCATCACTCTAGTGGACAATATGCAGACCTCTCTGAGTGAAGGGTAGACAAGTTGACTTCTTGAGGATCTCTCCAGCCCAAGGATTCTATAATTCAAGGGAATGGATAACTCACCCTCAAAGTTATAGGCATTTAGCCAAGCATCTCCTTCTATGCATCTAGGACCAGCATCCCAGGTTGGACTCCCACCCAGTCAGATGACTCTGGACAATGCATTTAATCTCTCTATGCCTCAGTTATCTCACCTGCCAAGCAAAGGGGCTAGATGAAACAATCATCAATGTCCCTTCCACCTCTAAAAGGCTTTAATATTATTACTGAGCCATTAAGATCAAACATGGGAAAGGATTTTAAAAAACATTCTGTTTCTGGATATTGCTTCTGTCCAGTCTCCAAGAGATACATATAGGAGCTCTGCTCAGAGAAGGAAAATGATTAAAAAAGAAAAAAAGGCAAGTGGCACTACAGGCAAGGGGCCACAGGATCCCCAGCCCACCTCCTCAGCTGCAACTGTAAAGCCCCCATGTGAGTGGCTGAAGCCTTTAAAAGGCAAGGGAAGCAGAACAGCCCATAAAAGGCACATCCCTAAAAAGTGAGGTTGTAAGACACCCCCACAAGCATAAGGTACTCTTGAGATAAGGGATTTCTCACTTGTGCCTCCTGGGCCTTGGTGTCACCATCCCTAAAATGGGAAGAATAGGATGGCTCTGCATTTTAACATTTCAAACTGACCACCTGAGCCAAGGCTCTACGGCCCTGGAAGCAGGATGGGGCGGGGGACCAGCAGTGAAATTGTGGGGTAAGCTTTAGACACACGTGCACGCAAAGATCTCTTCAGAGCCCTCAAGGGAAGAAGGGACCCAGTCTGGAGGGGGCACCAGGAGTGAACGGAAGCCACAGCGCCGGGTGCAGGGTGGGGCTCGGGCCCTGGGCTGGCTCACCTGATGAAAGTGGTCTTCCCGGTGGAGTACTGGCCCACCAGCAAGACCATGGGCTTGTTGTCAAAGTCGGCATCCTCCAGGGCGGGCGAGTGGAACTCGTGGAAGCGGTAATGCTCTTCCAGGGGCAGCAGCTTGCTCCTGTAGAGTTTCTTGAGCCCCTCGCTCACCGTCTGGAAGACCTCGGGGTCCTTCCTCCGGCGGTGGTCGGAGCCCAGCCAGCTGAACATCGCCGCCGCCGCTCGCCCCCCGCGCGCAGCCCCAGCAGGAGGGCGCGGAGCCCGCGTCCCAGAGCCCTCGGCTCCCGGG